TAGCCTAGATGTCCTCTGAGGAACTTTCCAGCCCTATGATGCTGAGCTGTGCATAAAAAGTTAAATATATTTGGAGGATATAGAGGAAGACAAGTGAATTTTATAGGTAAAGAATTATTGGCAGCCATGGTTGTCTTAAGCAAGGGTTGGATAGAGTCCTGGGAAACATTTAGATCCATTGCTACGTGTGAGGTTGTCATATGAAGAGGGCAGGCTCTGAGTGGAATGGGAAGGCACATGGAAGCGATACTGGGGAGAGAAATACAATTATTGCAAAAGTCATAGCTAGAAGGGAGGCATCCCAGAAATAGGCTGATTGAATAAGGCATGGATGCCTCCCTTTGGAGGAACAGGAGATGAATAACACCAGGCAATTAAAATCCAAGGTATCATGGAAAATAACTTTGAAGCATTAGGTGAAAACTTTTAATTGTGTACATAATGAAAAGGAGAAGAAGCATGGTTAAAGAAATGAGACTGAGAATATCTGTTTAATAAATTTCTTGTTGTTAAAGAACAGACTAGAAAGAAGAGGCTAGTAATAGGAAAATCCAGCAGACTGACCTGAGCCTCAAATAATAGTGTCCAAAATAACACCGTCCATAAAGATGTAGAGAAAAGGTGGCTGTGGAAGATGGTGTTGAAACTGTAGAAACATGGCAACAGCCTGGAAATGCTGACTGGCGAAGACAGGGATCAGTATAGCATGGCTCAGGGCCAGCGAGATAGCTCAGCAGACTAAGCACCTGCTTAGGCAAGCACAGGGACCAGGGGTTGGTCCCCGGCACCACGTGCCCCGCCGGCCCTGCCCATGGGCATACTGAGCTGGCAACCGAGTCTGGGCGTGGTGGCACACACCTGTAATCCCAGCATTGGGAAGGCTGAAAACAGGAGGATCAGTACAAATCCAAGCTGCATAGTGAGACCCTATATCAAATCCATAATTTGCTTTGGGAAGAATGCTATTGGTCTTGTTATAAGCAGGAAGGTGTGGAGAGCAGCTGAGCTAAAGATCAACCACATGTTTGGGGCTAGAGCATGGCCAGTCCCTGAAACACAGAGCACCAGAGGCCCACCATATAAACAAGTTCTTAAGACTAATGCAAAGCCGCTCCAGCCGGCTTTCCTCCCTGTAAACTACAACACAGATAGCTCTAAAAATGTTTCGTTTTCAGTGATATGAACAAAACACTAAGACCTTACACTTTCAACTCCATTGCACATTTCTCTCCTTTTTACTGCAGATAAATAAAAACACAGACCATGCTGTGTTGTGGCTGCCTCTCCATCAGAGAGGTCAGGTCCTACCCAGTCCCAGCTTTCCTTTTTATGTGTCTAGTTTTTTCTTGATCTCCAGTTGGCCCCTCTCAAAACCCAGCTGGCTGTGCGGTAGTGAAAGGAAGAATGCTGAACTGCTCAGTCTTGTGTAAGGTCGTGCCCAGGCCACTAACTCAACCCTAGCTGGCTTGCTTATTTATTTATTTAATGTCTTAAGGACTGTGATCTACTAGTGAGCCATAACTCCAGCCTCTTGCTATTTCCCGTGGTTTCTCCCTGTCTAAAGCTTCCTACCTGCCTTCAATTCGGGTTGAGATGATATCATTTGCAATTGTTTTAAATGCTGAGCAAAGCTGCTTATGCTGATGAATTGTAAATAATTCTCAGGTAAGTCACTTTGGCTCCTTTGTATTGAGGTGAGCTAATTTCCCACACTGGCCAGTTCCTTTTTAGTCTATCCCCTGCTTCCCACTTCTATTCTGAAAGTTCCCATTTCACTTTGAAAAAGAAAGAATAGAAAATATTTATAAGATAATGTGTGATCATAGACTTACAAGACATTACTTGTCTGGGAGGCTGAGGCAAGAGGCTCTTTTTGAACCCTGGGCCAACCTGGGCAATTTAGTGGCTCAGTGAGACCAGTCTCAAAAATAAAGGCTAAGAGTATAACCCACTGTGAAGATCAAGGTTCAATATCCAGTTATTCCTCCTACTCCCCAAAAGAATCAATGGTAGGAGAATCTTTATATGCAAAACAAAAGTACTATGAAATAATTCATTAGGTAGTCAGGGAGAAATGTCCAAGTGACATATGATCTTCAATGTTTTATATTTATATATATATTTATCGAAGGACTAAAGACTGAATTTAGTGTTTCATGCATGCTAGACAAATGTTCTGCTAATGAGCTACATCTCCACCCCTTGGTTGTGTTTTTGTTTTAGTTATGCAGCAGATGGTAGGGCTCAATTGCAGTCTCAGCATGCCCCAGGAGCGGGGCCAGCACGGCATGCCAGGGATCAAACCCTAGTCCCTGTGCCTGCCTAAGCAGGCCCTTTAGTCTGCTGAGTTATCTGGCCTCATCTCTCTCTCTCTCTCTCTCTCTCTCTCTCTCTCTCCCACACACACACACACACACACACACACACATAATTTTTTTTTTAAGATAAGGTTTCATTATGTGGGTAGGGATGGCTTTGAACTTAACAACATGTAGCCCAAGTTGGCCTTGAACTCAGAGCAAAAAAGTCTTCTTGCCTCAGCCTCCCAAGTGCTGGGATTACAGGTGTGCACCACCATGCCTAGAATATATATATATTTTTTGTACCGGGGATTGAACTCAGTACCTTGTGCTTGCCAAGCAGGCACTTATGCCACTGAGCTATCCCCCTGGCCCATCTAGTATATATGTTAAATGTTGTTAGTAATACTATATGTTTATTAACTAGTTTCCTCAGTAGCCTTGGAAGATAGGTACAGTCTATGCATATCATTTTACAAATGATGAACTGAGACACAAAAGAATTAAGTGCTTTGCCCAAGGTCAAGCAATTAATAAGCATCATGCCCAATTTTGCATCTAAGCAGTCTAGATTGAGTCTCTTAACCGCTGCACTATATATTATA